TTAAGCTCAGGCTAAAATAGCCAAAAAAACCAAAAAGTCAAAAAACCAACCCACTTCCCAAACCAAGCCAAAGTAAGTATATGGTAGAATAGATACCTTTTAGGACGGTTGCTAGAACATTATGTTAATTCAATTGTGTTAATATTATATTTTGAGAGCCCCATTTTAACAATGTTTGTATTATATTTTAAGAAGATTTAATTTCTATCATAGATCATATATAAATACTAACACTCAAATTATATTTTAAATTAAAATTATTTGAATATGACAATTAGTATTTAAAATAAAAATCAGTTTCATTATATAAATTTATTGAAATTTTGTTGAATTTATATAAACTAATAAATGGTATGTCATTTTTAGAGTAACGCAATCAATTCTTATTGTATTCAAAATTTGGTTGAAGGAACACTTTTGCTTTTAGCAACACCACAATAAAATAGTAACGATTAGATTTTTTGCTTTTGTAAATATGTTATTAATGAATTGAAGAATAACATTTATTAAGCCTTCGTTTGAGATGTGTGTTAATTTTTTAATTTTTTAATTTTTTGACTATTTTAGTCTGGAGTTAGAAAGCTTTGTTTGAGATATGTTTTTTGACTTTTTTAATTTTTATGAGAGAAAAAATAAAATAATAACGATTTGAATGCGACATTTTGTCCTATATATACCTATTTTAGTCCAAATAGACATGCCAAACATAACCTAAATTAATGTACTAATGACATATTAGAAGGTATTAAAAATTTAATATTTAAATTTATAAACACATTATATTTTATCATTGAAATTACTTGTGTAGAAAATATTCAGTGTGTTTGGTTTGAGTTTTCTAAATTAATTTTTTGAAAACTGACTTTTTTGATTTTCTTGTTTTTTTTTGTTTTTAGTTAATATTTTTTAAATTTTAAATATTTTTTTTTTACTTTTTTAGATGCACCTTACTTAGATGTATCTAAAAAGTAAAAAATTTGTGAAAAAATATTTTAAAAAATTAATAAATACATAAAAATACAAAAATATATTGAATTCTTGTATTTTTTTTTTATATTTTTGGTATTTAGTGAATTTTTTAAAAGATTTTTTTTATAAATTTTTTACTTTTTAGGCGTATTTATGTTAGGTGTGTCTAAAGAGTAAAAAAATTGCTTAAAATATTAAAAAAATTTAGTAAAAACAAAAAAAACACGAAAAATAAGAAAGTAGAATTTTCTAAAAAGTATTTTTTGAAAAGTAAAAACAAGCAAGGTGATTATCATCTATTCGTGCGAATATTTGGTTTCATATCTACAATTTCATTAATAAAAAATTTTGATGTTTACATAATTTTCCTAGTATGTGTCTTTGTATATTTTTTCAAATATAATCATTCTAACATTAGTGATTTTTAAATAGTTAAATATCATGTTTTGAAGTGAAATAAAAATTTGTCTAATATATAGGAAAGTAATAGAAAATTTAGGTTATTTATTTGATAGGTCATTACATCTTAAATGATTCTTTCTTTATATGGAGAGTGAGAGCATAAAAACAACTGTTTCAAATTATTAAAAAGTTTTTATAATTATATATACTATAATAGGTATTAATTTTTAATTTGTTACGTATTTAAAAATATAAAACTTTATTCCGTCAAAGTGGATTTTAATTTGTTACGTATTTAAAAATATAAAACTTTATTCCGTCAAAGTGGATTAATCCAAAAATTATGAATTTCTAACATTTTTCCTGGATAAAAATTACTGTTTTATGTAAATAGAGAGCATTTGTTAAATGTTTATTTATTTTTTAAATAATAATAATAATTTTTTTAACACTGATAAAAGAACAGACATGATGACCGGGTATAGCAGGTAATGGCAGTTAGTTCCAGTAATAAACCATCAACCCCACACCACGTCACTACGCAACCACTTCCACTTCTGAGTCCTCACTGACGTGTCGCTTACGTGTTGCAAATCTCGATCATATATTTCCGTCGGTAATTTCTATGTTCACACACCACAATTTCCAAGTTCACCGCTTCTTTTGTTTTTTTGCCTTTCAATTTTTTAATTGTTATTTTATTCAAATATCAATTTCAAAACAAAATTATATCATTCTGAAAATAATTTTAAAATGAAAACTTATCATCAGTTACATCTTTGCTTCAAGACCCTGTTTGAAATCAATTAATTATTATTAGTATTATTTTTTACTAAATCAGTCCAAAAAAAGAGTAGAAAAAACTAATTAAAAAAGTCAAAAAAAAACCAAATTTTCCACTAACAAATTTGTTTTTTCTAAGTTTTTTTATTTTAAAAAAATAACTAAAAAAATCAATAATCTTGATATATTTTTAAAAGTTGAAAAAAACAACTTAAATATGAAAAAAATTACTAATGTTTAAAAATATTTTTTAAAAAATCAAGCAAAATCATACACAGATTTTTGTTCGAGTTTTTATTTGTTTTTAATAAATGTATTTTTATATATTTTAGTTAATTTTTTAACGGTAATGATACATCCCACTAAAAGTGGTACTCTAAAGCATCACTAATGAGTTGGCAAACACTTTAAATAGGAAAAAAAAAAAAACAAGACACAAACAGTGGGCCTCGTCTACTGCCACATCACTAGTGGTGCTTTTAAAGCACCACTTTTAGTGGTCTCAAGCATTATTGATTTTTTAATTAGATGCGTCTAAAAAATTTAAAATATAGTTTTTTTTTTACTAAAGAAAAATATAGCCTGTTTAAAAATAATTTAAAAAAAATCAAATTAAACTTTTAAAAATATTATCAAATGTTTAAAATCAACTTCTCAAAAAAGAAAAATAAAGAAAAAGTATGAATTGAGAAAAAGTTGTGTGTAGAAGGAGAAGATACCTATCCCCACCGAATCCCATATCATCATCCAACGAACCACCCCCAAATTCTCTCAAAATTACACTATACTCCCCACCTCTTCATAAAAAGCTCAAAAACACCCACTAATGGCAACAAAAGACAAAAACACAAAACAACCCATTACACCTCACATATACCCAACCTCTATACATATACATATACATATACCCATACACACTATCCCGTATAACATAAATATATATATATATATATACACGATAATATTATCAATATCACCAATGGTAGTAGCTTCAAATTCACGGCGTTGAACTTTTTCACTCCTCCATCGTTGAGCGATTCAAACTCAATTCTCTCATTTTTTACTCTTTAACAATGACTCAAGTCTACCACTCAACTCCGGTGGGCCGAAACGGAGTTCCCTACGCCGCCGGAATTGGGGCGGAGTTCGAGTTCCGCGGCGGCGGCGGAAAAGCCAATGGCGGCGGTGAGTCGGAGGATTGGAAGTTTCATGCGGTGGAGTTCACGAAGGGTTTGGCCGAGATGAGTGTGGAGTTGGGAAAAGGTTGTAGAGATGTGGTGCAACAGAGTTTGTTGAGGCGTGATTCGTATTTCATGAGGAAGATTGGAGGGCCGTGTGCCAAGGTTTCCGCGAAATTGAGGTTCTTGAATGAGTATTTGCCTGAGGATCGCGATCCGGTTCACTCTTGGTCTGTGATATTATTTGTTTTCATTGTCGCTTTTGCAGGTAATCTAGATCGCTTTTATGTTCTGTTCTGTTTGGTTGCTGAGAAAACGTGGGAAAGTGATAGGGATTTATCAATTTAGAATCTTATTATTTTAGAGAATTGAGCTTAATTTTAATGTTCACTCTAATTGAGTTGGAACAACGCATTCGTTTATCTTGCGGTGACAACATTAATAGAAGACTTGTAAATTTTCTTGATAACCAAACAGAAAATTTGAGAGTTTAGAGTTCTTTATGTGAATTTTGATTTTTGGGGAGTTTATTTTCAGTATGCACTGGACATTAGTTGTTCTCTCTTGTGGGTCAAATTAACTACAATTCCAAAATTAAATGTAGAAGTGCATCCTGTACTTTTGCTTGGATGAAATTCGAGGCCAGATTTGAAATCGAATCGAGTTTTTGAGAGATTGGTAGAATGTTTTGCATGTCATTGCCCAATTTAGTGAACTACTTTCATGAGTGATATTAGGGAATTAGCTTGAAATCTTTAATTGTGGAGAATTTCCACTTCTTATTATGCCTGAACCCTAACATCAGAAAATATTATTTGCTCATTGGGATTTCTTGCTATACTGTCATAAATCCCACTTTTGCCTGTGCTCTTCTTGATTGAGAAGCTAATCTGATACTCTATTAATTGGAGAAATGAATACCCCTTTGGGTTGCAAAGAATCTTTTCCTGTGAACCACATTGTATGCAGATTATGGCACTTGCACTTGCTATCAGAGCAAGTAGTCTGAGATTTAAATGATCAATATTCTTTAGTTACCATGCTCATGCATTGAATCATATTGAAAGAGAAATCACATGGCCTTTTCTAATTCATTTATGCCCATCTGTAAGGACCTCACTTAGAAAATATGAGGAAGAAGAACTCCGAAAATATGAGGAAGAAGGAATATATTTCTGTTATATTCAAAACTTCTTATTTTACAAGACCAAATGACACTCCTTATATAGGAGATATTACAAACATCATTATAACCCATTATATGCCACTTACATATTATATATTACCACTATCTACCACTATCATACTATATACATGCCACTATCTACCACCAACACCACTATCATATTATATACATGCCACTATCTACCACCAACACCACTATCATATTATATACATGCCACCATCTTATTATATACATTAACACAAATTTCTAGCATAAATAATGTGCAATGATTGCTATATACCTAATTTAATCATTGTTAGGTTAACATGGTGTTATCTGGTTGATTTTATCTTAGAAAGTATGGCTTGCATTATTATTAAAATTGTTATATTTTTCTGGGGGAAAACAACAATAGTTTGGCATCATATATGCATTGGGGCAACTGATTTTTCATTGTATTATAATTACCTTTACAAAAACAACCTAAAGTCTATGCTGAAACTGATCTACTTTTTAACTGAGATTGGCTCAGGTTGTAATGTCCTTTCATGAATGTGGAGGCAACGTTGGTGATGATGTTTGTATACCACTGCCACATTGGGTGGCAGAAATCGGTCGAAGCAATCCTGACATATTTTTCACAGATAGAGAGGGAAGGCGCAACCCTGAATGTCTGTCATGGGGAATTGACAAGGAACGTGTTTTAAGAGGCCGGACTGCTGTAGAGGTATTGCATTCATCCTTTTATATATGTATTTGCGTGTGGCCATTATCCAAATTATTAGTCATCATAATCTTTGTGGCCATGCAATTGTTTATGGTTTTTGGATTTTTATTTTTTGTTCTTAAAAACTACAGCTATTGCTGAAATACAGATGTTTCTAAAGATATCTGTTTCTTAGATTTTATTTTGACTCATCATAAAACTTTTCTTCAGACTGAGTGCATTTTTTTAAAAAGCGTAGGACCCTTGTGTTGGGGCCCTCCTCATGTTTTCTATTTATTGTTGTTTAAAGTTTTTCTTTTGGGTTTGACAACTGCTAAATGCACTCTCACACAAACAAACAAACGAAAAAGCCATGACTGATGCATGATGTTAGTGCTTTTCTTTAAGGGCAATTTGACCAACTTATTTTTGCACACCAGATAGCTTCTTTTCTTGAATTGTTTACCCCCTTCATTTTTTCTTTTTGAATTTGCCCCACCCTCCCTGGTATTCCCTCTTTATGTCGTGTAAATAATGATTTCGATTTGGATATTTTACCAGTTGTGTTGTCAAAAACTGATGTAGGTTTACTTCGACTACATGAGAAGCTTCCGGGTTGAATTTGACGAGTTCTTTGAGGATGGTATAATCTCTATGATTGAAGTTGGACTAGGTCCATGCGGGGAGCTACGATACCCATCAAATCCCGTAAAGCATGGTTGGAGATATCCAGGTGTCGGTGAATTCCAGGTGGCTGACCAAATATTTTTAATTTTAAATACATAATGATGCAATCTTCACTGTGTTTGCTCTTCCAGTTTCTGTTTTCTCTTTTTTTAGTAACACCAGAAATTAATTTAATTTTTTAGAATTTATGATAATTTGAAAGAAAAAAATTATGATAATTCGCTTGAGAAGTTGATGATGTGACATTCCCTTTCCTGACTGGTTTTTCTCTCTACCTAAATCAACTTTTTTTTTTTTTTTTAATATGTTGTACTGGAGTTCTCGTTACTCGTGAGAAGTTCATATTGAGATATGTATGACCAATATCTGTCTCAGTGGAAAAAATTACTGGATCAGAGGAAGTAATACATTTTTTTTTTTTTTTTGATATTGAAGTTCTGAATTACTTATTTTATTGTGAACTGCCATGGTTCGTTTACAGTGTTTGGTCATCATCCAGCATCTTGTGAAAACTTCACCAATAAATATGTCATGTCCATCTGAAACTTTGCCACTCTTCTGAGCATCTATCAAACATGTTTCTTTTGCAGTGTTATGATCAGAATTTGTTGAAAAGCCTGAGGAAGGCAGCTGAAGCAAGGGGACACTCTTTTTGGACACGAGGACCAGATAATGCAGGTTCCTACAATTCCCGGCCACATGAAACCGGATTTTTTTGTGATGGAGGTGATTATGATGGCTATTATGGCAGGTTCTTCCTCAGTTGGTACTCTCAAGTTCTAGTTGACCATGGTGACCGGGTACTTTCTTTGGCCAAGTTAGCTTTTGAAGGCACTTGCATTGCTGCAAAGGTGAGTCAGCTCTAAGACTAATTTTAAGTTTGTGAAAATGAATTTTATTATCCTTATTGAGATGGCAGCTGATTAGGATCTATTTTTTTCAGTTCTACTTTCTCTTCATAGTACTTAAGTTCTATGTTTATTTATGATCCACTGGGATGATTTAGTTTGCAAAATTTACGTACCACAGTTTGATTTCACTAATCCTTTCTGAATTAGTAAAGTGCTAAGCATGTTGGTATGTTCATACAAAGTAGGCTCCACATCAAATTCTCATTGTAGAGTCGAAAGACCCACTATTTCGTAAGTGTGATGTTTGCATGATTTGTTTCTGCCAATTGAGCTGATTTAATTGTGCAATTTAAAATGTGAATGAAAAGGAAAGAAAATCTCAGACAAGCATTAAAGAGTATATTGAAAAAAGGGATTCAATGTCTATCTTTAATTGTACATCTATTAGCATATTTAGTGCTTCTTTTGACATGCCCCAAACCCCAATTTGTGGGGACCAATACTAATTGATGATAGGTCTAAACAATGGGAACACAACCGTTTGTTATCTAAAGTCTATGCTGAAACTGATCTACTTTTTAACTGAGATTGGCTCAGGTTGTAATGTCCTTTCATGAATGTGGAGGCAACGTTGGTGATGATGTTTGTATACCACTGCCACATTGGGTGGCAGAAATCGGTCGAAGCAATCCTGACATATTTTTCACAGATAGAGAGGGAAGGCGCAACCCTGAATGTCTGTCATGGGGAATTGACAAGGAACGTGTTTTAAGAGGCCGGACTGCTGTAGAGGTATTGCATTCATCCTTTTATATATGTATTTGCGTGTGGCCATTATCCAAATTATTAGTCATCATAATCTTTGTGGCCATGCAATTGTTTATGGTTTTTGGATTTTTATTTTTTGTTCTTAAAAACTACAGCTATTGCTGAAATACAGATGTTTCTAAAGATATCTGTTTCTTAGATTTTATTTTGACTCATCATAAAACTTTTCTTCAGACTGAGTGCATTTTTTTAAAAAGCGTAGGACCCTTGTGTTGGGGCCCTCCTCATGTTTTCTATTTATTGTTGTTTAAAGTTTTTCTTTTGGGTTTGACAACTGCTAAATGCACTCTCACACAAACAAACAAACGAATGTATGGCGAGGCTTGCATGATGTTAGTGCTTTTCTTTAAGGGCAATTTGACCAACTTATTTTTGCACACCAGATAGCTTCTTTTCTTGAATTGTTTACCCCCTTCATTTTTTCTTTTTGAATTTGCCCCACCCTCCCTGGTATTCCCTCTTTATGTCGTGTAAATAATGATTTCGATTTGGATATTTTACCAGTTGTGTTGTCAAAAACTGATGTAGGTTTACTTCGACTACATGAGAAGCTTCCGGGTTGAATTTGACGAGTTCTTTGAGGATGGTATAATCTCTATGATTGAAGTTGGACTAGGTCCATGCGGGGAGCTACGATACCCATCAAATCCCGTAAAGCATGGTTGGAGATATCCAGGTGTCGGTGAATTCCAGGTGGCTGACCAAATATTTTTAATTTTAAATACATAATGATGCAATCTTCACTGTGTTTGCTCTTCCAGTTTCTGTTTTCTCTTTTTTTAGTAACACCAGAAATTAATTTAATTTTTTAGAATTTATGATAATTTGAAAGAAAAAAATTATGATAATTCGCTTGAGAAGTTGATGATGTGACATTCCCTTTCCTGACTGGTTTTTCTCTCTACCTAAATCAACTTTTTTTTTTTTTTTTATTATGTTGTAGAAATTTTCTGTACAATTATTCACATTGGCCCTGTTTGGTAGGGCTTATTTCTAGTTTATTTCAGCTTTTAGCTTAATTTAAGCTATTTTGATGTGTTTGGTTCAGCTTAACAATATAGATTATAGCTTTTTGTAAGTCAAAAATCAACTTATTCTTTGAGTAGGGGAGGAGAAGCTTAATTTATAAGTCAAATCAACTTAAGCGTGCAGCTGAGATATGAGGGGTAAAATGACTAAAATGGCCTTCACAATTTCAAATTATTACAACTGTGCCACATATATAAACCAAAACACACTCATTTTTGTCCCTCACACGAGCCAAAAAGGCGATTTCCGGCAAATGGAGGCGATTTCCAGCGAAAGGGATTTCCGACGATGGGTTCTGGTTCTTTCTCTCTCTCTCTCTAATCCCTAGCTCGCCATCAATGAACCAGAGCTCGCCATGGACGGCGTGACGATCGAACGGTGACGAACCAGAGCTCACGATCAACAACCCTAACCACACCCATCGCGATCGCAGCAGATCTCTTTCTGGCGTCGCGATCTGAAACCCTAGCGCGCCCGTCCTCCGTTGCGATCGATCGCAGCAGATCCCTTCCATGCCGTCGCGATCTCC